ATGCAAGTTACTGTTTAAGTGTAATGAGGTGGAAAATGAAAATCATGTACCCAAACATAATAGGGGCAAACTTACTAGATGGTGTAGTAATTGCATATCTTAAGACTTTCACAGTTAACAGCATTCTTGAAATGATAGTTGCTATGATATCCTTCTTCATGATACAGTGTGCTTGCCTGAAACCTGTGAAACTATTCTGTCTTCATGGCTAACATATGAATGTTCTAATAATTTCTTACAATTTATGTTTGCTGAAAAATCTCAAGTTTTATTTATTTGGATAAGTGGATTGCCCAGATGGCAGAACGGCTTTTGTTCAGGCTTAGAGAAGGTGGGAATGGAGGGCTCTTCCTGGTGCATTCAAATATCTGGTTGGAAGGGTATGGAGCCAGACTTTTCTTGGAGGTGCAGAGTGGTAGGACACTTCACGGGAAATTCCTCTGTTGAATTAGGCCAGTTGTCAATACAAAGGGAGTTGAGCATTGGAACAGGTTGCCAAAAGATTGTTTGTTCTCTGTTCTTGAAGATGCTCAGAACTTGACAAAGCTCTGGGCAACCTGATACGGGTTGGTCCTCTTTTGAGTAGCGGTTTGGGTCACATTGCTTGTAGAGATTGCTTCCAGTTTACATTGTTCTGAGAGTCGGTGATAAAAAGTGATATGTCTGATGATCGGAGAACTGAGCTGTACAGAAGAAAAATTCCCGAAGCAAACCCTTCTGAAACATGACCCCAATTTTCCATAACATTTCATGGTGCAGTTGCTTTCAAGTTGTTTTTTTCTCATTTGAGCTCTAACATTTTTAAAAGTCTGTGCAAACCAGCTTGCAGCTTATGCTACAAATACATCATTCTCTTCAGTGTTTTTTATTCATAATGGAGTATGTTCAAAGGAGAGAAAGAAAGATGATTTGCAGAAACTTCAGGCCTGGATTTGTGCCTTCAATATTCAGAAAGTTCGAAAGTCTGAATGTTTTAAGAAAGTTTTTTATTTTTTTACTCTTTAAAATATCAAGAACATTTTCTTGTTAAATGACTGGATGAGAATGCTGGAATTCAAGGCCCTGTATAATACAGAAGTTCAGTTTTAAAAAACAAAGAATGAAAGTCTAAAAAGGGAGCAAATTGTTTTGGTTTTTTATTAAGGGCCTATGATGCTACATGATGTTTTACATTATGGGTGATTGAGTGAATTTGTGACTTCTCATATGATTGTATGAAAACAAGTTTTTAAATTGTCTGGGGAGAGAGTGAATTTCTTCTTGCCAGTCACTGTCACTAATGTATAGGAATTGCTGTTATCTTTAAACACAATGTTCTAAGTTGTCTTTAAGAATAATTGATTGTTGATAGGTCAGACACTAATTTCTGTCATCTTCATTCTGGAAAATAATTTCGTTGTCTTTTCTGTAATATGTATTATGATGTTTCCTGAATTTTGCCATAACACTGATGAAAAATTGCTCAGAAAGGTTTTCTTTAAATTAGAAGCAGTAGGTGGCTGTGCCATTATGTTCAAGAAAATACTTTTGTATTTTGAAAAGCTAATATCTGTCCTTTTTTTTTTTTTTTTTCCAATTTAAAATAAACTTCACAGATGCTTTGGGATGCTACTAAGCCCTGGACGAAATGTGAAGAACAGTGACATGCATTTACTAGACATGGTAATACTTAGCTCTAATAACCTGCTTAGTAAGATAAAAGTGTTTTTCAAAAAAACCCAACCAAAACCCGACAAAACAAACCTCTCATCTGTTTGGTTTTTGTTTGGTTTTAGTTTCTGAAGTCCTGGGGTTTATATCTTCAAACTAGAAACAAACTTGTTAAGTACAATGGACAAAACATTTCAATTAATGTCAAAACTATTGGCATTTGGTTTTTGTTCAATTGATGAAGCACTGATTAGGTCAGCTGATGGCTGGTTGTGGCAAACAGCTAAGCTTTCTGTATTGTGTTAACCATGTTACCTAAAAATTCAGAGCAAATAATTGGTTTTATATTTGGACATTGGGAAAGTAGTCTTATTTTTTACAAGGTGCTGAAAACTTCACCTTTATTTGCTTAATTTGAATTAAAATTCTTGCTCAAAGTTTGAAGCATTCCCTTGTCTTCTACAGTCTTCATTTCTTATGAATTGCTTCTAAGAGAACTACAAAATAATACGATACTTTCTGTGATAATGTTGATTTACTTTCATGCTGTGGATAAGAATACTACCATTTTCAAGTCAAGAAGTGTTTGAGTTAAATCAATTAGACATTTTGTGGCTTTACAGTTATCCCAATTTTGCCTGGTCCATTTCTTTACTCATGTTGGTGGTTCTAGCTATGAGTATTTAGTTGTCTTGTCGGACTCTTTTATTTGCCTGTTTGTATCTACTAGCTCTTTTTTTTTTTTTTTTTCTCCTTTCTCCTGGTTTTATCTGCTGACATTAGTTCTGTTTTTCCATTTTTATTATTCGATTAGAAAACAGAATAAATTATAATGAGTTATGGAGAATAAGGAATTTGCTTCTATAAATCTGTATAACACTTTTTTTTACTGTGTGAACTGTATTTTTTGAATTTGTGTCTTTACTCCACCTGTAATTCTGTTTACATTTACATTTCAAGTGCATTTACCCACTGCCTTATTAGTTATTTTTTGGGTATAGCATAAACATATAAATTTGTGTTTTCCTTCCAACCCCATTTTTCCCTGTTCAGATATGGAGAACTTGGTCACTCTTACTGCTGTACCATAAATTTGATTGCAGAGTAGGAATGTCAGTCGCCTTTCCTCTATAAAGAGGCTAATATATAGGCCTGTTGGATTCATAGGAACCGTCCCAGAAAACTTCAGGAAGCATGTACTTGCCTCGTACTAGTAAGAGCTTATCTGTGTGCGTCACGTACTCTGATTATTTCTAGCAGGTCTATAAGAAGTATTTGTAGAAATAATAGATGTACAGCATGAGATTATTTTAGCCAGATACAGAGGCATTTGTGTTAGTATTAACTTTATCATATGTGGCTGTTTTGACTTTATTTGCATATTGTCCTGAAATTTGGCTATTTAAATCTCAAGTTCCTATGGACTGGAATTCCAGTCCATTGGTATACTTACAAATGTAAGTCCATGCCTGAGCAACTCAGGGAAAAATCTGGCAGGGGTATAATTGTGGATTGGGAAAAATCGGAGTGACCTTTGGGTTGGAGTTGTTAAGGTCTTACTCTGTTAAGTTTGGGATTTTTTTTTTGGATCATTTCTATGTATTCTTGGGGCTAGTTTAATATTATGAAGTCTCTTCTAACTCATCCTCTCCTAATAACCATCTCAGCTGCTCAGAAAGTAGAGTGGCAAACATCCCACCGTGCTTTCATGCTTATAATAAGCATTAAAAAATATGTTGATAAACTATCTTGTCTTCAGTTTCTTATAGAATGTTTCTCCTCTTTTAGTATTTCTTCTTTCTCTCTCATTTCCCTATAACATTTATCAATCCATTATTTCATATTATTTATTTAGTGTTCTTTAGAGTGAACACAATCTTACTCTAAAGTTCCTAGAACTCTTTCTCCTCCCCATGCTCAATCTCTTTGATCTCAAACCATGAATCTAATAGAAACTTATATGTATTTATTTTTAGGAATCCATGGGAAAGAGTTCTGATGGGAAGGCTTATGTAATTACTGGAATGTGGAATCCTAATGCACCCATGTTTCTAGTACTTAATGAGGAAACTCCTAAAGGTAATTCAATTGAATTTGTAAATTTGTTTTACAAATTAGATGGGTTTGGTGTATGTATTTTCTCCTGGGAATCATGGTGCATATGTCTGAGTACATATACCATTATGCTCCAAGAGTCCATGGCTAGCAACTTTTCTGTGTAAACATATGCAATGTAAAAATGTGAATAATTGTTCATAGAATTGTGTGTTGCTGATTTGGAGACGTTAAATTAGTGTTTGGGGCTTGTGTGCCTGTTCCCTGGTTATTGGGACGTTTTAGTCCTAAAGCACACAGAAGTTGGTTTCTACCTGCTGTACTTGGCAAAGCAGTGTAAATAGTAGACATTGCTATTCTCTTCTAGTTTTGAGGTGAGTTGATTACAAATAGCACTACATCCCCTTCATCTTGGGGCAGCTGGAAGTGATGTGCTGAAGGGCTTGATTATATAGCAGGGTTTCTTATTGCTAGACTTTGTTCTCTGATGTAATGTAAAAGGTTTGACTGCAAATCTGGAATTTGTTTCCCATCCCAAGGCAGAGCTCACATCAGTTGCTTAGAGCCATATCCAAGTATATACAGCCTGTGTCACTGTTCTTGCTGATAGATTTCAAACCACATTATTTCTAGTAGCATATAGGCAAAACTCTTGCTGTTCAACTTGGCACAGTTTCCGATTATGAAATGATTGTGTGTGTGTGGTGTGATTTGGTTTTGTGGTGTGGGGTATTTTTGTGGTGGTGTTGGGGGTTTTGTTTGTTTGTTTTTTAAATGCCCACTTGCCTCTTTGGTCTGATAAGATAACTGAAGGATCCATAATGTCTAATTCTAAATGTTATTTTAAAAATCTGTGCTTCCTGCAAGAAAGCTACCAGTTGTGACGCAACGTGATGCTTGCTACCTTTCTCTGTGATGAATGTTTTCAGAAGCAGCAAACCTTTTCTTGCACTGTAAGCCTGCAAGATACACTTGGACTATTTCAGCCTTATCCTTTGGTCAGCATTCTCCTCTACTTGATCCTGCATTCTCCTCTACTTGAAAAAATTGAAGTTATGCTTCAGTATCAGGAAGGTGGAGCTATTACAGATTACAGATCCATGCTTTGCTTTAAAAATAGGTTTTGCTGCTCTGAGGGCTGTCTGACGTGGAGACAGGGAGGGGTAAAATGTTTGGCATCCTTTTGACTGACAGCATGTAAGCATGGGCGTAAAAAAATTATCTGAAGTGTTTCTTAGTGTTATGAGAGGATTTAGGACAAACAATACTGTAGGAGATCCTTGACACTGATTTGCTATACATATCTACTCCCTCAGCAGTAAGTTTACACTTTAAAATGTGACCTTATCCTTGTTCTTTTTGTCTAATGGGGCTCATGCATCTTAATGCTGTTTCCTTTGTGTGACATTTTGCTCCTGTCTTTATTTTGAAGACACTCTGTCTTTGTCTTAAAAAGTTATCAGAGTTACTTGGTACACTGATGCATACTGTCATTCTGTGCAGCAGGCATGTAGGGTGTAGAACTTGGATAAATAAAATGGGTGCAGTAGAATCAATGATTATATAGAAGGAGTTTTCAATTTGAACAACAGTTTACTTCTGTCATTTAATGTTTTGAAAAATTTGAACTTTGACTAGTTTTTCTGTATGTGACTTGTTTTTGTGTTTTAGATAAGCGTGTTTTCATGACTGTGGCAGTGGATATGGTTGTTACTGAAGTAGTAGAGCCAGTCCGGTTTTTGCTGGAGACTGTTGTGCGTGTGTATCCTGCCAATGAACGCTTCTGGTACTTCAGCAGAAAAACCTTCACAGAAACTTTTTATATGAAGCTAAAACAGGTAATGCATGCTTGCTTTTTAAAGAAAAGTTGATGCTGGGAGCATTTGTTTTGTCTGTCTTAATTTGGCCTTTATAAAAGTTAGCATGGCACCTGCACCTCAGTAGTTTGTTTCTTTTAACTATTTATTTCTGAGATGCTTAAAAGCATAATGTTTAAGCAGCATATATGAATGTTCAATGCCTTGAATTATAATGAGTCATAAGTCATTGGCTTTGTGGGCTTAAACAATTTTGAGCCTACCTATTGAATTCTTCATAATTTCATACAATCTGACCTGTGTGCAGACATCTAAAACAAGCCATGTGACTGGTAAAATTGGGAAATTACTCTTCAATTGTTCTCTGTAAAATCAACTGATATGTAACAAAGGGAAATCCTGGCTACTGAGGTTCAAAATGGTGGCTGTAAGAATATAGTCCATTGAAGGCAAAGGGACCTAATGCAGAGGTTTAAATGAGGCTGTTACTATTGTTTTTTCAAAGTATCTGAGAAGGTAGATTTCTCTTATGTTTTCAAAAAGAGAAGTTTGGAAGAAGATTATCTGGAAAAGTAAGTTCTGCTGCGTGGAGAAGTTGCCGTGTGTTCACCCTTGTGGTTGCTGATGATGAGGGTATGAAAGGAACTAAGTTCTTGTCTTTCACTGCCTCAGGGCTTTATGAAATATGAGGCTAAGGGCATTATTGTTGCAATGATTCATTAAATCGACATTGTTCGTGTGATTTCTTGCTGCTGACTGTACCCTTTTGAAATGTTCAAGTAGCAGTAAAGAAATAACTATTTTTAGCAAATTCTCTTCTCTGAAGTATTTAAGTCTGTCGGTGCCTTGGAGTTTGGCTTGTAAGTCAAGTTATACAAATGTTGCTCTATTCTATGGGGTGGGGGTGGGGGGGAAGTGGTTAAGATGAAGCGTAATGCATAGTTATGTCTTCCCTCTATGTTAGCTTTCCCGGTCTTGTGCTTTTGTGATTAATGTGCATTTATTTCTTCCTCAGTCACTGAGAGGTGATATATCCATCTCACCTGGTAGTATTTGTTGAATAGTTACCTATTGAGTAGAACACTAAAGTCTCTTCCATTTTTGACACTGGGTGAGGTACATAAAGTATGTATGTCTGCCCGTTATCATTGTAGGATGATGTGCAACTGCATCCTCCTCCAGTGACTGTTGACCTGGTTTCTCCAGAGACTTAAGTTGTGGCATTGGTTCTAAAAGTGAACAGCAGAGGCTAACTGTACCATTTGCATTGGAATAGTGGTCCATCATCTTTGGCTAATGAAACGAAAGAGCAGTGATTTAATTTTACTGAGGCTAATGTGAATATTTGAGTTGTCATCTTCCTGTGGGGTACAGTAATAGGTCTGAAGAAACAAGCTATGTTGGTGTTACACGGCAAAAGTGCCACTGTGTTTAACACTTAGTGAGTAAATAGATCTCAAGCAATGCTATTTCTGTGTTTCTTCTAGAGATTAGCATAGCAACTTAGAGTTTAAGAAACTCTGAGAAAACCAGCTGTTTGCAAATGTTGAGAATATCTACATTTTAAATTTAAAGAAAATACATTTGAAAATACTATTTTCTCAGCTGATACTGACATATAATCAATTAAGCTCTCCTTTTAAATCACTTACAACTGTACCATTTTTAATTGAGTACTATGGATGCTTTCTTTTTTTCCTCACTCACACCTTATAATGAGACGTACACGTGCCTCCCTTCCCTGAAGAAGCATGTGCATTTCTTCCTGCTGTAAAATTATGAGGAACTGTTCTGCAGATTTTTGGGGAAGGAATGCTTTTAATCTTTGTTGTCTTTCTACACAATTGTATTCTTTTTCTTTTTTCATGGTTAATTTGATGTTTTTAATATGTTCGAAAAAATACCTTATTTTAACTGATTAGACAAGATGCACAAAGAACAGAATAACAACATTTTGGGCTGGTTCATTTAATACAATCATTAGTTTGCAGTTATATACAATTCTTTATAAATATATTCATCACTGCATGTCACTGAATAATAATTGCGTTCAGAACTGTACGGGAAGGGAGAAACCAGTACTTCTTGTATTTTACAACTTGCAACCTTGTATCCAGTGTTTAAAAGATAGGTAACTAACCTCTTTTTCGTGTGAAAGTCCGTTGAACATTAAACCCTGAACTTTTCCTGAAGTGAAAAGAAAACAAACAACTTCCCCCTGCCCCCCAACCTTTGAGGTAGTTTGCCTTGAAAGTTACCAAATTCCTAAAGAGACAGATTTGGAAGAAAAACTGCTTTTACAGAACAAAATTATTTCCACTGAAAATGTTCTGACCTCAAATATATGTAGTTACAAATATCACATACAAATTTCCAAGTTAATTTAACTGTTAGATTGACAGATGTTCATGATTTGTAGACATGTGCACTCACAGACACACTCACAGACACACACATATATAAAAGAAAGAAAGAAATAAAACTTAGGCTACAAACACAAATTTTGTAGTTAGGTACAGCCAATACATTTCCTCATTGAGAGGAGTATATTACAAATTATACTCATTGGAAAAAAGGCGAATATTTCTGGTTTTCTAATGTGTAAAACACTACAAGAAACTTTTCACAATTTATGGCTTTCAAAAAGCATGAGGTTTTGTTTATTCTTTAGTCTTGTCTTTACCTACTAAAAACTCTTGCCATTAATTCCCCCCCCCCCCTTAGGCATTTGATTCCTGTTTCTGTGATGTCAGTTACTCCAGTATTTTTCCTGTTTGTTTTCTCCTCTTTTATTTTGCTGAAGTTTCTCTTTGACCTCATCTCATTATAGCTATTTAAATTGGAAAGCTTTTTTTATCATTGTTCTGAGCAATACTTAAAATGGTTAAGAGGCTGCTTTGGAAATAATGCAGTTTTATTTATGTTTTCTGCCTTAATAAAACTTAAAGAGAAACAGAGCTGTTAATTACTGCCAGTCTGTGTGTGCCATTGCAAAGAAATCTGAGGGAGTCTTGCTCACACTGTTGTTTAGCCTTGAGAGATTTGTTTGTACGGTTTGGGTTTGGTTTTGGCTTACTATTAGAACTGTATTTATCAACTGTGGGGACCTAATACATACACATATTTTGTTTTAGTTTGAAGGAAAAAGCCACACAAGTGCTGGAGATGCAATTTATGAAGTTGTCAGTCTACAAAGAGAATCTGCAAGAGAGGAAGAATTGGTCAGCCCAGCAAGTGGAGGAGGGCCTACATCATCCCAGGAGGATGAGGCAGAAGAAGGTAAGAATAAATGAGCACTTACAGTTCCCGTAGATAGTACTGTTATATTTCTGCTATTAATTTGCTAATTTAATTCTTCCTATTTGTGTCTGTTAGAAATACAACTGTTTTGGACAAAACCACAGACTTTTCTACTAGCAGCAGTTGTTTAGTAGTGGCATTTTTACCAACCCGTTATTTGGAGTTCTTCCAATAGCAGCAGCCGACAACGCATGTCCGTTTTAATGTGTGCTTCAAAATGTGTTACTGATGCACTTGCCCTGTGCCCACAAGACAGAAAACCTTTTCTAGAGCGATTTTCTTTTGATCAGAAGCCATTTGCCTTGAATGTTCTGCTAAAGAACAGCATTGAAATGGGCTTTGGAGTGGCAGGCTTTAAATGCTTGTTTGTAAAGAAAACAAAAAAAAATCCCAAACAGAGTCATACAGGGAATTCTTCCACCCCAAAACTGTCTGCTTGGCATGTGATTTGTTTTCCCTTGTTTATAACTCAGGCTTATCAAAATACCTCCTGGTTCAGTTGGGGATTGCTGCTGTTCGTGGACCCAGCATCTTTGCCTGCCCCTTCCAAAGCTAACTGTACCTTGGTGTCTTTCCTGTTGGTGTGCTTTTTGTTTGTTTATTTGTTTTGTTTCGTTTCATTTTTTTGAAGGCCTTTGGCCTACTGTCATCTCTTTGTACTCTGAGAGGTAGCCCACAGCATTCAGAATAGGCTGTGTGCCATTTTTGATCTGGATATCTGACCTACTAGTGATAGTTTTATAAAGTTATCCTTCAGATTTCTGGCACTGTTCTGTCAATGCTGTAAACAAAGTCTCACTATGGTGGAAAATTTCATTCTTGATTCCTACTTACGGGTAAGTAGTTGGGTATTAGTCTATGCAATATGAATCGGTAATCCTGTGATTAACACAGTCAGGAGCAGACAGGTATGGTTACATGATTACTCTCTTCCAGTTACAAATAAAAAACCCCACGTCTCTCAGGTGACACCAGGCTTACAAAACCCACAGCCACGTGCTCTTTGGTGAACTGAAAACCTACTGATTCCTGGGAGGCAGCAGGATGGGCGTTGACTATCACTGTTATTCCCTACTTTGTATCAAGTGCCACTTCTGAATAGTAAAAATACTATTTTCTCTAAAGGAGATTTTATATTTAATTGGTATTCAGGATTGCTTTACTGTTGTTCATAGCAAGAATTATTTCAGATTTGACCTTTGAGTCTTGTGGTTCAGTGTAGCATAGTTCAGCATCTGTGGGTGTTCTTTTCCGTGCTGGATGTTTGAGTTGTACAGTCAGAATGTTTTCTGGAGCTTGTTTGATAGGATAGGCTTTAAGTAATTACTTGAATATTTTTTTTTAATATTACTTCTCACTCGGAAGAGTAAAGCACTGTTCCAGAATTTGATGAACATAGCACAATTAGTAATAATGTGGATACTGTCCTCTTGGTACTATTACAGAATGGCTTTATTTTATTATAGAGTAAAAGTATTCCACTGGGCTATGAACCGAAGTTTAACTTTGGTTATCTTCCTAATGCTAGTTTCCATATTTTAAATGTAGATTACTTCCTAAGAGAAGACATTAAAAATATCATGATGTGACTCTGTTCTCATGGAAACTGCATTTAGAGTTATCTGCCTAGAAGTTATCTATCCTAGTGGATATGCAGGTTAAATGAGTCATTTGCAGTTGTTCTAAATAAATCTCTTCATTCTTTTTCTTTCTTTTTTCTTTTCAGGGTACTAATTATGATGATGGAAAAAAACCCCTTGAGTTTACAATGTCTTGTCTTAGCCTTGGAAGAAGGCTTTTTCTTTTCTTTAATGTTAAGGATGGTAGCTACCTGGCCGTGTAGGTTTTGTCTGCTTGCAACCTGACTAGGGCAGGTGTGCATTATAAGGACTTTACTGTTTCATAGGCCAGAGCCTGGTGTTCCCATTACAGATATTGAGGATTATTATCTGTTCTCTTTATTTTTTTTTTCTGTATCCTCATATATATCCTACATGCCCATAGGATATTACTTAATTTACTCCAGAAGCACTATACATTGCAGTTTCGTTTGTATAAGAATGCATGCCTTATTTGCACCTTACCTGATTTCTGTGTACTCTGTGTGTGTGTGTGTGTGCGCGCATACATACAGCTCAGTGGGATGTCTTATGTCATGAGTATATGAATAAAGATGTATAAGAAAGAAGGCATTTTTTTCAATATCCTTGTTATTTTTATTTTAATGAAAGGGCAAACATGATGTGTGCGTGTCCCCCTAATAATGATTTAAAGTCATTACTATACTAGTGTTAGGCATAGTCCCTTTCAAAGGTGCAGCAACTGCATATAGAAAATTGAGATCATGTATTCCCTAAATAAGTCTTAGCTTTTAATATTCTTTTCTCATTTTAGCTTTATTTTTCATCTCAACAGCTGTATTAAAAAATTAAAATCTTTGCAAAGATTGTGCAATAGCTACTTAGAGATCTTTCAGTTCGACTTCACTTTTCTTTTTTAATTATTAATATTGTAATAGATATTTCTGGCAACCCAGTCATCTAAGGTTCCTTGCTTTGGAGATAATAATTTAAAAAATATAATTAACATTAATGATTTCTTGTCAAAACCTAGAATGTAAAGTACACTCCTTGATAAGAAGTTTTCTGTTAAATTCAGAATATAATTTTAAAAGATTAAAATATATAATGAGGAAATTCTTACACTTCCCGGAAAGGTTTCAAGTAAAGTGGATTTAAGTATCAATTTTTATCAATAAGCAGAAAAGTTCACTGTTAATATTTAATTTTGAGTAGAAACTTGTAACAAGGTGCAGAGCACAATTGATTGAACTAATATTTCTCCTTTTTGGAGCATTAAGAGTAAGTGAGAACATGTACAGAAGTGATGGTTGGTGTATGGCATTATTCAAAAAAGACAAAGCTGCACAGTGCATTTTTATTGTAGTGTCTATGGCAGGATGAAGTAGCTGGCTGCATGTGTGAGCCTGAGGATTGGAGAAAATTGCTTTCCAGCAGAAGCATTTGTGAGGAGAATGTAGTCCTAGAAACAAGTAACAGAGAAGGGGAAGAATAGGTTGGTTTCTTTTAGCACAGTGCTTGTTTAGACCATACATGAAATGATGACCTTCCTTTGGCTCTCATGTTTTAATTTTAATTTTTTTTTAAACTTTAATATAACATTTCAGGAGAATACTAGGTAACTCCATCAGAGTTTCCTCTTGAATCAGAATAATGTTAGAAGGTTAAGGATCGCTGTAAGTGGGAGCAATTCTGTTTAAAACCAGAAAATACTCTTTAAACTGATTGTAACTGAGTTGAAGATTTTTTCTTTTCTTTTCCTTTTTTTTTTTTTTCCCCTGAAGATTTATGTGGTCCCAAGTGTCTGGTTACTAGCTCTTGTTCCAATCCATGAATTGCCTGTAGAGTAAACACAAGATGTTTATTAGACATCCTGAAACAGGTAATTTATGATAGATGAAAGATAACACACCTACCAAGTCTCCAAAAAGAAGTTTCTGAGCATGAGTTGTAGGTTGCCTCTAGAACACTCTCTGATGACTTCCAGGAATGCAGTACTGTTTGGATTTTTGTTTTTATTTACCACAACAATAGATTTCTTGATGGTTTAGATATTACTTTCTGACAGCTGGGAACTGAGCAGGGATGCAGTTGACAGCACAGTAGGTAGTGATCCATAAACAGTGGACTTAAATAGAATCTTGTTGAAATGTGTTTGGTGTTTAGTTATTGACCTTTAATAAGAAGAAATTATATGTAAATATGAAGCTGTAGAAGTAAGAAAGAGCAGCAAAAGAGAAGGAATAACAAACTTAAGAGGGTAAAACTTTTATCTCCCTAGCTGTCTTAACTATTTAAGAAAAGAGAGAGATAGTATACCATAGAAAAATTAATGTAAGAGGTATGGAAATGCAGTGTGGAGATGGTGAAATTTAACAATGAAAATAGAAATGAAAGGATAGAGGAACCTGAAAGCTTCAAAGAAATCTGAGTGTGACTTATTGGACAGCACAAAAAGATGGCGCATGCAGTAGATAAGGAGTGGGCAATACTAAATGATCGTAAATAATTAGTCAGACTAAATTAGGATACTGTGTCAAATGTTGGTGGTGGTTAGAGGCTGTTTTCAGGGTTCAGAAAAGCAAAGGAGTAGAGGTGGTGGTATTCTAGGAGTCAGTAGAGCTTTTGAGACTATTCTGTGATAAAATAGACGTTTACGATGAGGGATAGTGTGAACAAATGAGGATGACTGAATGAGAAGAATGACATTAATAGTGTGGAAATAGCCAGCTCTGCATTTTTATCCAAATTAAAATACATTTATGTAATTCATAGGAACCATTTGTTACATTAATTCAATAGAGAATAATGTTGGTGGGTCCTAAACAAGATCATTTAAATCTGTATTGGAGTATTTTCGTGATCTGCATACAAATTAACTAAAACGTTATAAATCCTAAATTCATGAGGTCATTTGGCTAGCGGCTGTCCTCAGGCAAGAACTCTTTGCTGCAGTTCTGTAAGAGATGAGTTTTTAAAATATAAGCACTTCTGAAGAATGCAGATCTATAGCTTCCAAATGAAAAGAAAATATTCCTAATGAGCCTGATGTAATTTTATGGACGCTACTATCCATTCTCTTGCATTGGATTATTTTCATGCCTTACAAGTTACCTTTTATTAAAAATCATAGAATCATAGAACAATTGACATTTGCAGGTGTTGTTGTGCTGCCAGAAAGAATATGATCCCTTCCTTAGTGTATTAAAAAAAATACTGAGTGCAGAAAACTGTTTTTCCTTTTTAATATGCCCTGGATGGTGGCAGTTCTTGGTGATAGTTACAGTTGTATTTAAATTTGTTCTTGCAAGTATGGCCTTTCTGTTAAAAGGGCAAGTATTTGAAATGTTTTGAAGTTGAAGCACTTATGTGGGTTGCAGAAGCATTTAATAAAATTGC